AGTAAAACAATTAACATGTAGTTCATATATATATATGTGATCATATACATTTTTACTGACCTACACATGTAGATGAAGCTGTACATATTTACTTAAAATATAGGCATATGTGTATTTATTAAAATTCAAGATGCCAGATATTAATGAACTTAGACTTTACTAGAAATTTCGTGTATTTCTATGCTAGGCAAACAAGTTCACATACACATACATACAAGCATATGTAGTATTGCCTTTATATACTAACACAAGCACTATAAATACGTGCAGAAAATCAATAAAATGTATACAGACACATATTTACATGTATGTGCATAATATATTCATATGTAAGTCTAGAAAAAAATGTTCCTGGATTGTCAACCCCACTGTTTGACGAGTATAGAATTGTAAGTGCTGGGTTCTTATGGTATCACAGTATACCAATTAACGATCAAGCTGTAACTACAAAATAATGCCAAATAAAAATAGTTGGAAAGCTTCAACACATAATTTGCCAGTATCTCTGCAAAGACATTTAAATACTAAAAATTTTTCAATTCATAGTATACGTAGCAGGGTAGCAGATGTATTTTTGCACTCTATTTGTAGAAGCTATGGACTTGACAAAGTCTCCTACCTTTACACAGTCAAAGTAGGCTTACAAGAGCTGAATGCAATTCTCCCTATGTGGAAACATTTTATGGCTGCTTCCCACCAAAAAAATCTTTGTGAGTAATTGAATTAACACACCGCAGAAAGCCAAATCCTTGCGTCCTGAATCAACAGTGTAGGAAAGATAGATGTGTCTGAATTCTGCCACTAAAACTAGGTGAAAACCACACAAAAAAGAAGCTCCCTTTTGTTCCTGGAACTGCTGAGTGCCATTCAGAGGACTGCCCTGCCTTCGTAAACATGCCCAATACACGTCAGCACTAATAAGATTCAAACAAAAACATGGAGAACCACAGCTAACCTACAGCAGTTCGATTCAGCAAAAGATCTTGCTTGACTAAGCACTATAAAAATTGTGCAAAAATTATGTTTTGGCAAGAATATATGTCACAGCTGTTAGATTCTCTGTAGATATGAAGGTGAGCAAAAGCATTGGTTTCAGTGCAGTTATGCTGGCTTCACACCATTTAAAAATATGGCTTGCCGTCTATCTTCCTCTTTTGTTAACGCCTCTTCATGGCTCCTCGCTAATATCAAACAAGCGATATCTTTCCATCCACACCTTGTAACTTCTCCCCAAAATATTCTCTCTTGTTCAAAATAAATCTTATCTGTTAATTTTTCTTGTCACTTATCTTGAGTATAAATGCATCTATAGAACAATGGTAATTTTATGAATTTTCTCTGAAAAACAACATACTTCTCAGTTGTCTTTTGCTTTCCATTGCAACAAGACAGAAAGCAAAGAATCAATATCAAAAGTAATTAGCCATGAATATTTTCTTTGAAGTAATATGGTGGGCTAAGCATAAGGATTTACACCTTCTATTTTTAAAGCTCTTGTTTATGTAGCTAAAATTATTTCTAATTTATACCACAATTTTGACCACTACCTCATAAACTCAGCATATCACCAGGATCTTTCCTATTCTCTGTTTCGGTCACTGATTATCATTTTTTCTATTTTTAATATGCATTTGTTTGTGATATACTCAAAAAACCCCAATGCTACATCTATAAACACTAACCCAACTATAAGCGTGAAGGTATATTGTGTGGTTGCGTAACTAAGCAAGAAAGAGCGGCTCCTGGAAGAACACAAGTGCCCTCGACCCCCGTACCAGTTGAGAAAGAAAAGCACCTCTCAGGGTTGGAGCTGTAGTTGCCAAAGGAAAACACTTTCTCATTTTCAGATGTCCACAATTGCTATTACATTGACTGTTAAACACACTTCAGCACAGACGCCTCTCTTGGACATGTGTACAGGACTCCTAATTAAGGGGTTTCATTTTTGCCACAAAAGGAGCTAGATTGTAATGGCATCTTTTGTCCTATGCTTAACGAAGGGTGAGTTATTGTTTAAATAATTAGTAACGCGGCTGGAAGAGAATGCAAGTAATTAGCATAGCTTGACACCCAGAGCAACACCAGTTGCTGCTGCTAGCATCAACAATGTGTCCATTTAAAAAGAAAACCCCAAGAAAGAAAGTGTCGCTTGAAGCCGTCTTGCTTTTCTTTTTTAAAGATACAATTAACCACTCATTTTTGACTGAATCCACTGTACTATTGGCTACTGCATGCTCATTCTTGCAGAATTTTCTTTTAAGATTTGGGTAGCCTATCAAACCCCACATATTTTAAAAACCTGCAGCAACAATATAGCAAGCAACAACCTGTTCTGTTCAGGTGGGGATTTTCTGATCCACATCGAATTTGCACATTATCTGTAAGTTAACAAAGACCATCTGCAAGCTCGTACCTAAGATTCATGTTAGAAGCATGACTGGTGACTCAAGAAGTCTTATCACCATTCATGAGGGAGGAGACCTGAGTGTGAAAATGGACCTGAAATTCTTGCCTCTCAGCAACCAAACACTCTTGTGAACAGGTATCATTCATTTACTCCTGCGGGATAAATGCCAATCTATAGAACTGAAAAGCTCATTCTCGGAGTTTGATATATAAACCAGCACACATTTTTGAGATGGAAGAGGCAATGAGGAAAGGAGATACATAGTTTTCAGATTACCTCCTTACAAACAGAGAATGGATGCTGGACCTGGATGGAAAGCACCCAGCCTACTGTTCCTGGGCTCAGAGTATAAACATGTCATAATCGCTGGCATAATTGGCATGACTGATGTCATCGCTGGCATTAGCAAAGCAAAATAGGCTTCTTCATGACAAAGAGGATAGCAACTGGATTTCATGTAGACTAATAATTGTCTGCGTAAGCTACTTTTAGATAGTTTGTGTACAAAGAAAGTCCACATCTCAAAAAAAAATCATACAGATATTATAAACAATGCTGGGAGTTGCCATAATAAGGGAAGTGTTACTTGACTCAGGCCTACACTAACCATTAAATTCATACTTTAATTACTCTTCAAAGAGGCTGGCGGAAAGTACTCTATTAGGTTGCTGCCAAGTTAGCTAAATGGGGTAACATCAAATGTCAATGTTACTCGCCTGAGATACCCTTTCAGAGTTTGCTTAGGCATCTTTGCACAGAAAAGCCATAGATCATGCAAAATACCCTATTTTTTTCCTATCTGCAATACTAAGTCAAAGATCTCAAGAGAAGAGATGCCTTTTAAAGTCTTCTTTCAAGACTTACCATATCTGCATACATCACCACTAAGAAAAGTTTACTATTTTTTTACATCCTCAAATATATACTTATCCAGTATTTAATGTTGAAGGTATTTCCTGTTAAGTAGTGTATTCCTACTCACATAAAGTTGCTAAACAATACACTGTTAGCTTACTAAACAGTAGCACCTGTTAAGAGATATAAACCCATTGGACTATTAAAAAGCACTGTAAATCCACGCATCTTCTATTCACACTTATAGTCCATGCCCCATTTTATCAATGGCTAAACTCTTACCTATTAAAATAACAAACCAGTTCAGAAAAAAAAAAAAGAAAGCAAGAATAACAACTCCTCCTTAATAAATAAAAAAATCTTTAAGAGATGAAAGGAAGCTATGAGGTCCAGGTAAAGAGGTGTCTTTCATTATGTTGACGGAATCATAGAATATCATCTGCATGTTTGCACATGCATAGAGGCACAAACCCGCACAGCATGTGTATGCAGATTTCACCTACAGTCACCTAAAGTTACCATAGACGTGTGCAGCCACACAATTTTGTCTGAAGGTATTTAAAAAAACCCATGCTGTTAGTTAAACCTATTAATTCAGTTTCTTTTCCCACCTCCGAAATTCTGTGTGAGAAAGCTGGCAGATAAGCTTTGCCCTCCACACTTGCG